GAACAGAAAAATAACGGGCCGGATTTTTGAAAAAAAATTTTGGAGCGCCGTAACGGCATCGAACTTTTTTTTTCAAATAGCAACCTAAAATTTTTATTCTATTATTTGGAAGACCTTATTTTCCTGTGTACAACCTACAAAAAATTGGGCCGGGTTATATTATCAAAAAACGGAGAAAAAAATTGTCAAAGTCAAAAAATTGTGCTGCATATGTGCAAAACGCAACGATCTTGTTTCTGAAGCAATTTAAACGAAATTTCTATGGTAAGTCCCTTTAATAAAAGCAAACAAAATTCATGCGCAAAAATCGTGTTGCGCATGCGCAGAAATGCAATTTTCTTATTTATGGAACAATTAAAACGAAATTTGGATGGTAGGTCCTCCTAATAAAAGAAAACAAAATGCATGCGCAAAAAATCGAGTTGCGCATGTGCAACATCCAACTTTCTTATTTATGGAACAATTAAAACGAAATTTGGATGGTAGGTCCTCCTAATAAAAGAAAACAAAATGCATGTGCAAAAAATTGAGTTGCGCATGTGCAACATCCAACTTTCTTATTTATGGAGCAATTTTAACGAAATTTGGATGGTAGGTCCCCCTAATAAAAGCAAACAAAATGCATGCGCAAAAATCGTGTTGCGCATGCGCAGAAATGCAACTTTCTTATTTATGGAACAATTTTAACGAAATGTAGATGGTAGGGTATGGCCCTTTTAATAAAAGCTAACAAAATGCATGCGCAAAAAATAGTGTTGCGCATGTGCAACATCCAACTTTCTTATTTATGGAGCAATTTTAACGAAATTTGGATTTTTTCCGTCTGTATGTACGTGCGTACGTTTGTTGGCAATTTTTGGTTTCAGCTAGGAAGCTATTCTGTCAAGAATTTGACACCTGGTTTTCCGTCTGTATGTACGTACGTACGTTTGTTGGCAATTTTCTGAGAAAACGGCTCGACGGATTTTGTTGAAATTTTGTATATATGTTTTAGGCATACCGAACAGAAAAATAACGGGTCGGATTTTTGAAAAAAAATTTTGGAGCGCCGTAACGGCATCGAACTTTTTTTTTCAAATAGCAACCTAAAATTTTTATTCTATTATTTGGAAGACCTTATTTTCCTGTGTACAACCTACAAAAAATTGGGCCGGGTTATATTATCAAAAAACGGAGAAAAAAATTGTCAAAGTCAAAAAATTGTGTTGCATATGTGCAAAACGCAACGATCTTGTTTCTGAAGCAATTTAAACGAAATTTCTATGGTAAGTCCCTTTAATAAAAGCAAACAAAATTCATGCGCAAAAATCGTGTTGCGCATGCGCAGAAATGCAATTTTCTTATTTATGGAACAATTAAAACGAAATTTGGATGGTAGGTCCTCCTAATAAAAGAAAACAAAATGCATGCGCAAAAAATCGAGTTGCGCATGTGCAACATCCAACTTTCTTATTTATGGAGCAATTTTAACGAAAATTGGATGGTAGGTCCCTCTAATAAAAGCAAACAAAATGCATGCGCAAAAATCGTGTTGCGCATGCGCAGAAATGCAACTTTCTTATTTATGGAACAATTTTAACGAAATTTAGATGGTAGGTCCTTTTAATAAAAGCTAACAAAATGCATGCGCAAAAAATAGTGTTGCGCATGTGCAACATCCAACTTTCTTATTTATGGAGCAATTTTAACGAAATTTGGATGGTAGGTCCCTCTAATAAAAGCAAACAAAATGCTGACGGTTTTCTCTTCATAGCATGAGCTAGGTACAATGCGGAATTTCATCAAATGTTGACGTTTTAGATTGTTTTAAGCAACTTTTAAAGAATAAATTTTTCCCGTCTGTAAGTGCGTACATATGTTGGCAATTTTTGGTTTCAGCTAGGAAGCTATTCTGTCAAGAATTTGACACCTAGTTTATCTGGGCGACTTATGCCCGGTTTCACAAACGATGATTAAAATTAATCAGTGATTAAAAATATTAGAATGATAGCCACCTTTGATTATACGCTAATTGTTTCCCCATTCTAATATTTTTTTACGTAATCATCGTTTGTGAATCCGGACATTAAACTTATATAATAGTTATTTATGTATTAAATAAGGGCATAATAGTGATATGTTTATATTCTCGAGGGCGACAGTCGCCCGAGAGTATAAACATCAGTTTATGCCCATGGTACATACACAATTTTATGTTTTACAAATAGTTTTCTTCGTCAAAATTCGTTTACAAAATAATTCATTATGTTTGATCGAGTATGCGTGGTTCGAATTTGTTAATGTGATTGAACCCATCCACACGTCAAACGTAATTTTAAATAATTCAATTCATCGTGAGTGAGCAAGGAGTTCCAGAAACTATTCGAAATAAGGCAAATCTTGTGATTTAGTGGGTATTGACAATTAATAATTGACGTTTCTAATTTTCAATGACAATTTGTTTGTTTTGTCATTAAGTATAAATGAGTTACTATGGTGATACTTAATGCCCTAGGGCATAAAGTGATACTTTATGCCCACGTATCACAGATATAAATTGTGCTATGATAGGTTAGTAAGACATAAACAAATTTACCACCCATCTCCACAACACCCTTGCATAAGCCTTTCCCGAACGTGTGGTTTTTTGGCCCCCGATTAATTGTAGGTAAACGATTTATGTAAAGCGCACCTCAATTGGGGATTATTTTGTATCTATTTTGAACCTAAGTAAATGTTATTTCCAAAAATGCATTTTTTTTCTATACGAGTCATACATTTTACACGCACCTGAAACGCGTATATATCTACTATACATAACCTCTCTTTTTTAACATCCTTCTAATAGTTCTTTCCTGCCTAACAACATTACACCAACACCAATATTCATTAATTTTATTACGCTCGCTGAAGATGATCTTTAGTTGTCGAAATCGATAGCCCTAGCAAACAAATTTTAATAACGTGTTAAAAAAAAGTCTACTTCCTTCATCAATCCGGACATTTCCAAAAGTGATGGAAAATTACATCCAACGAATTAATGGTGTAATCTATGTTTTCAATAGAGATAAGTCTAAACCGTTCCAATGCACTATACTGGCTTCCATTTCTTGCACTAATACACAGATATGGTATGAAATATTGCAAATCTAAATCTGCGCAATTGAAACAAGATTTATAATAATTTTTATAAGTCTTTAATAAAAAAAAAAACAATTGTCTTCGAAACCTACAAACCGCTATTTTCACTTTGGGTATTTATGTACACCTAAAAAGGTTTTTAGCTGTACTTCGCGGATATCCAGCGTACACCATTCTATTCATGCTGTCATATTTATAGTAGTAGCGTCCTTTGAAGAAGTAAGTATCACCTCCAATAGATGTGGCAGCGTTTATATTGTTAGGAACTCCATTCCAGTACCAAATCGGTAATGGGAAAATGTACTTAACGCGCATTCCCAAAGGTTTATAACTGTTGTACATCCAATACTTGTCGCCTGAATAAAAGTTTTTGATTAAACGGGCACGTTATTCAAGCGCCTACCTCTGAAAAAGTACAAATGTCCAGAGCCGCTCCATATGAACGCCGCGTCTATGTGGCTCGGTACCTTATCGTACCCATCCTCTATCAACTTTGGTTCGCCGAATTGCTTATTCAAAACATACTTCCACATATACAATCCCTTGTAGAAGATGGTCACATTATTCCAACTTGTAAAGGCGGCATCAATCTTACTGGGCAAACCAGGCCAACGGTTTTGAATTAGATCTGGACCGTCCACCATTACGAAGTTCGGCAAAAATTTCCAATATTGGTTATTTTTAAGTACGTACACGTAACCATCGGGCGCTGTGAAAATCGTGTCAATTTTTGGATCCCTGCAAAGCTCGGTGTTATCTCCCTTTGGAGAACGAGCGTCGCTCGTGTGACTCGCGTAAAGAGTCGTTATGCCTTTAATATCGTCGATATCTAATCCGGCATTGCGATTGTAGCCAAGATAATATGGGTACATAACAGAGGAGCGTTTACTGCTGTGGCCCAAACCTAAAGAGTGGCCGATTTCGTGTATAGCAATTTGAAACAAATTTACACCCTCCCCTTCCATTGTCCAAGTTTCGTCTTTGTCCAGAATTACAACACCGTGCGTCTGGAAGTGACAATTACAATATTTAAGGATATGAATTGTGCGAACTCACCGGATGCAATGCGTAACCGATACTTCTCCCTTCGCCATCTAAAGATCGGAAATTGATGCTAATATCACTAGTTTCCGTGTTTTGAACTAGTTTGAAAGACATTTTAACATATTTCGCCCACGCATTAAAGGCACGTTTAAACTCCGCGTGCACATCATTGGAGTTGATTCCCAACGGGTAGCTATCAAACCTGTACAGAAGATCTTTTTTGGCCCAAGTGCTGTTACCTAAACTAACAGCATACTAATAATTGACCCCGCGTTCAGTCGACATACCGAGAAACGTGTATCTTTTGGTTCGCTCCTTTTCTTCATCGGGTTTTCCACATCGCGGCCTTAACATCATATCCATAGTTTCGTTATCCATTTCACCTATGATGAATTTAGTGTTCGTTTCAAGAAAGGTTATTACATTACCTGTAGGTTTCATGCCAATGAAATACTGGTAATCTTGAAGAGCTGCTTTCATTTCATTGTCCGTTGCTTTTGTAATTGGCAAGTATCCAAAATCGTGCAGATAATTCTTAATTGAACACATAAAGCCTCATCATTTCAAAAGAATGTTGCACTTTATACTCACCATCACCATCGATTTGTTCATATTATCCGTTTGGTTTTGGATTTGAAATAAGACGGGAAAGAGGTAGGCGAGATAGTTCATCGTGTAGTCTGTTATAATACTGCTAAGTCCGTGGTCACTCTCCCATTTTTAAGTTTAATGATTACATTATCGGAACGATTGCGGAAACTTTATTTGCGTAGATAAACTGCGGGTTTTCACTTCAGGAAGTTGTCAACAGTGAGCGCTTTTTGGAAGATATTGAGCATCAATTCGTTAAAAAACCGCAAAAAGTGACGATTCAAAATGTGACGGTGTTCTGATGTGCCATAACGGCAATATTCGATAAAGCGTGACTGATTCGGCACTAAAATAACGTACTTTATTAATGCACAGGAAGGTGAAAACTTGTATTTTACTAAAAATTCGTCTCGTTTGGTTTGCTTGGGCTTTCCTTGCCAGATTATGTCGTTCACATTAACTGATATAACCGTAAAAGTTAGAAAGTATCTTAATTTCAGTTTCACCTTTATTTAAATGCGGTTGCGCTAATTACAGTTTTGTTGCTACACATCAGAAGGAATACAAGTAAATGAAATACAACGCATCATTTTTTAAAGAAGACGCCCAGAATCAAGGTCAATGATATTACAATTTTATTGAATGATGATATGGATAAGGATAACTATGATTAATGATTCGGCAATGTTTGTTGTTTATAACCTTGTAAATTAACTTTAGGTCATCACCTTTATAGTACAACTCGATATGCTGCTGAAGATGAAAATTATTTAATTGTCTCTGCATCGATTATATTAATGAATCTAAAATATATGCGTGTTTAACTGTCATAAATACCTATACCTATAATTGTGAGCCTGATGTACGCAAAACGGAATTATTTTTTGCGCTACTGGAAAGCTCTTAACATTTTCAATTTATAGAAAGATGAGATGATTATATCGTTCCTACTGTATTGACATTGACGGTGTTTGTAATTTGGCGTACACTTGTTTAAATTACCTTGAACCTCCATCCTGACCCTTACCTATTATAATTAGTTAGTTGTGTGTTGTCTTGGAAATCTTTTGTTCTTGGGATTTTTCGATGTAAACATTCCTTATGGTTTTTTAAAACTTTTTTGTAATCTCATTTTTTTGTGGTAGGCACCTATACATTGCACCTGCGGAGAACCGTTTTCGGGATCTCAGCTTAAACATGTTCCGGTACGGAAGCGTAGAAGGGGCATACAAGTTATTTGAAATTAATCCACAGATCTAACTCGCAATTTACACTTTGGGAATGAAAAAGAGCTGCCGGATCTTTCTGTGAAGTCACTAGGTTTTCCGGCGATTCCGATGGCCGCCCCGGCACGAAAAGTAAGAATTATGTAGGTAAATAAAAATTCGAGTATAAATGGTTTTATGATTTGTTTATTTGAAATAAGCTTTATTTTATCTAATTATACACAGTTAAAATAGGTACTGCAATTGAATGAAAATTCGTGCATATATTTCAACTAGGGGTAATACTGAGAATTTGAGAAGTGAGAAGAACATAGAAAGCTCTGACATCACCCCTGTCAGGTGCATTAGTAGATCTACCTAAAAATTCCGAGAATTGCACCTTTGGATAAATATAAAACGTACCTATTGGCATGGACCAGAGTCCTCCTGAGCGTTGTAAGGAGTTGTAAAGAGGTAAAATCTAGAAAAGCGCATCGAAAGCTGTGGTAGGTTCATTTAAGGGACACATTAAACCTTTTTGAAACAATTAAGAACCTTCTGTGCACTCCTTAGCAGTCGACAAAACCCATCAAAAGCCCTGGAAAAGTTTAGAAAACTATTCGTAGAAGATTGTGATAAGATAATAATTTTTTAATCAAATTTTGTTGAGCTATTGTGTACTGTACTCCCAAAATGAATTAATCTTTTTCTAATGGAAATACCCCTTTTCTGTGCGATTTTCATTAAATAGGGTCATGCTGAATAAGAATTAGGCCGGATGTCCACCAAATCGGGGCGACGAAGATCGGTCCAACTGTAGTCGTATCCAGATTGATCCGGCCGACTAAAATTGGCAATTCATGTCCATAGGTCGATCGCCTTTCGAACGATTTTTATCGGGTTGACAGTTAACATATAAATGTCAAGTGAAGACGAAGCAGTTGTCATGCTTTTGCACCACAGGAGAAAGAAAATTCGCCGCCACAGTTATTCGGTACATCCGTACATAACTAATAATAGAAAAAGAGGTGCTTTCATTTGTGCCCGTAAACTTGCGAATTATGAACACAAATTTAAATGTATGTATCGTATGTCCAAGAGTAGTTTTTTCCTTTTGGCTGACATTGCTCGACCATGAATTGCCAAAAGGGACACCAATTACAGAAGATGTGTCACGGTAGAAGAAAGATTATCAGCACTTTTGATTATTATGACACACTACTGCCGACAAATGATCGTGCAAGAGCGTCGCGTCGGGAGAAAATAGTCGGTTGCGATTTCGATCGGTCCCGAAAAAAATCGAGCCTGTGGACAGGCTTCAATAGAAGCGCACGCGCGCGATCTTTATCGGACGATTCATATCGCACCGATCTTGGTCGTTCCGATGCGGTGGACATCCGGCCTTACATTACCAAATTGAAATTTAGGAATTTATACGTGGGTAATAATCCTGGTAATCATTTACCAGTACCCTTATAGACTTATCTTTCCCACATTTCTAAGAATTAGTGCAATTGGACCTAATAACCAATTCCCAGACAAATCAGTAAATTTCCAGGAGATCTGGGAATTTTTTTGATTTCCCATGTTGAGACGAACTTCGGTAGACCGTTCAAATCGGTGGCTTTAAATTAGTGAGATCAAAAATAAATAAATAATAGAATTAATTTATAAACGAAACGGTAGATGCTGTAGTCTTCGGCAAACGGGCTGGTTGCTCTCGGACACCACCAAGAGGTTTCAATCCTTGCTCCTGGTAAAGGGTGACGGTTTCCAATCGGTTTCGGCGGCCACAAGTAGACAGCAGACCAAGTTCCAAGGATCGGACGAGTACAGCAAGCAAACAGCAATAATCAGAGAAATGTTACGACAACGCTTCCGACAAGAATACCTATGAGGCGAGGAAAAAGTGGATGGATTGGCTACTTGGGCGAGTAGTCGAGATGCAACTTTTCTAGTTGTAGTTCAGAAACCATCATATTTTAATACAACTTATCGCAAGAAACGACAAACTTTTCTGTTTCATAAGATACGCTAAAATGTATTCTGTAAAATGACTAGTTCAAAATTAGAAAATTGTTGTCAGACGGACAGGCAGGTCGATCAATGCCAAGTGACACATTTCTCTAATAATTTTTAAATTGAATGAAAAGTTAAGAACAGGCGAGCGATATGCCTATGTGCAAATTATCATGTCGTAAATTATAATTAACAGGAAACGAATTACCGCGGATTGCGAATTATTCCAATGCAAATTATCCGGGTATAAAGAACTCAACTTTACATTCAGTCTGTTAAGGTGGCGTTTACAATGAAAAAGTGGAAATTTGTTTCCACAATACCTTCCTTCTGGCTATGCAGTTTTGGTTGAAATAACATTCATTCAAATATATAATGTTCCCACATTTGCATGAAACAAAAATTATTTAGCTAATTCCTGCACTTTCGCCGTTATTTTAGCAAATAAGTTGTTAAAAAACTCCCATATAAAATATATATCTTTCATTTTTATCACACACTGATAATAATTAGGTAGTTATCAAATTTAACTTCATGCACAAGCTTAAACCTTTAGCAACCATCGGTCGTTAACAGAAGTTAATTTTTTTACCTGGAAACAAAGTTATTGAGGAAATCGCAAAGCATCTTTTGCACTTTTTGTAAACGCCACCTTAACATTCGTCTTTGAAACGCTGGCGGAAAGGGCGAAGGATCGTTCAACTTCTTTCGGAACTGCTGAGGATAAATCCAACCCTCCCTATCTTTTGGAACCACGGACGTGGAATAAAGAAGTTTGTCCTTCAACACGAAGTGGGCGTCTAGTAGTATTTTAATCTATGATCGTAGTCAGTGGCGAATTTACATATATGTGCACACTTAAGGCACGTGCCTAGAGGCGGCAGCTTTAGGGGGCGGCATTTTTTCCACTATATTTATTTTAGGTAACATTTTAAGTTTTAAAATAAGTGCCCTAATAATGACAAAAATGTTTAATTAAAATTATGAAATAAATTGGAATTGGTAGATAGTCTTTTCATATTTGTTTTAAAAATTTCATGTTATCATTGGATTTTTATTTTAAAATTTATTGCAATTTAAAGATTATTTTGGGGCGCATATCTTTCGGTGTGCCTAGGGGCGCAAACAAATTAAATCCGCCACTGACAGCATTTTATTAATGCGAGCTATCGAAACTAGAGGGTGGATTATAAACAGTTCTTTAACATGTCTATGACCCTTTTAAAAGCCTTTGATTTTGGACCCACTAATTTGTTTAAAAGGTTCCCCTTTTCCATTCACCAACACCGACAACAGCGATTTTTTTTGTTACGCAAAACAATGTTTGAATAAAATTAATTTGACGACCTCTTTAAGGGGATGAACTAAAACGTGAAATGTAGCTTCTATCACAACATGAAAAGCCAACAGAATTTTGCAATTTAAATAAGTGCGGCTTTATTATTGAGGCGCAGGCATCCGCCCAATTACCTTGACCTATCTCAACAAATTAATGTATTTAAATTTCTGTACCTACAGCCCATTGGGCGTTATTTGACATTAAAAATTATGTACTACAATTGTATTACAGCAACGAATTTCACACATAACGCACAAAGTCAGTATAGTGTTCAGGATTATATTTTATCTTTTCGAACTACAAGTAATTCTTCTGACAGAACTCAAAATGTTTACGTTTGTTAGGGTAATGCGTATAGGGGGTAGGTGCTATTGATTTCTTAGAGATTCATTCAATCTTATTCGTCCAAAACGTATCTTGTGCGTTATGCGCGACTACAAAGGTTTTACTAGAGACATCTGTTGTTACGTAAGTTTCATATCCACTAATGTTATCTTTATTTTACTTTACAGAAGCCATCGTTACAAAAATGATAACATAGAGCACTCGAAACGCTTTCTCAGAATTTTCATAGGGTGGGTGTACAGTCCAGAGTCTTTGCATTTACTGCACGACGTAGCCACAGATAAAGGTATTTTATCTGTGACGTAGCTCACGGCGGTGAAATTACATTACCAACACCAATGAATTTATAACTTTCAATGCCAACACCTAGGAGAAAACTGGAGAAACCCTCACCTTCAAGTAAGGAACTAATTTTTGGGATGTAGTTGGTACCCTTAGAGAGGAAACTAAGTTAGGAAGACTATTCAGTAAAAGCTTTATATTCAAAGGTAAAAGTTCATTTGCATACACTTCCTCTAGATCTATAAGATACCAAAGTATTGAACCTACAGACAGCCTTTCAGAGACGGCTAAGAGACTAACACACGGCCAATTTTTTGAGACCAGCGTCACATGATGCCTCTTTTGGATGAAGACAGTTTATTTTGAATGTTTCTTAAAAATTCCAATTATTCTTTGCGGATACCTACATCATTCAAGTCCATGACAAATTTTGTAATAAAGTATGAAGAATCGCACACGATTTTCAGGAGGGAAAACAAAACAAAAATGAGAAAAAAAACAGTTTTTGATGCCTACTAGTAATACAATGTAATTTATCTAAATTCCACTTACCAGAAAAACAATAAAAAAATAAAAGGCATAATATTTTTCCGGGTTATGGCAAAATAATCGAAGCAAATACTGTTATCCCGAGAATGTGAAAATTTCCGAAACATTTGGCCCAAGGTCCACTACAAAACTTACTAGACCATACAGTTCACAGTGGCGGATACGGATTTAAATTGTTTGCGCCCCTAGGCACACCGAAAGATATACCCCCCAAAATAATCTTGAAATTGCAATAAATTTTAAGATGCTAATAAAAATCTAATTATAATTTGAAATTTTTACAAGTAATATGAAACACTGTGCGGCGGTTTGTTTCGTACACCTCCTTTAGTCTTTGTTTTATCAAAGAGTAACTAAATAATATTCTTTAGTTTTATACCGTGATATACATCGTATAAGCACAGATTAAATAGTATTTTGTCTGTGGTATAAGATTGATGTAGGTAGTTGTTCTACAAGAAGGTTGTCTATATTTTCTGTTGTAATATTTTTTAAATTATTCCCATAATATTCTCCACTAATTGGAATATATCTGCCCAAATTTATGAAAGCAGGAGTAAAATTTGTGCTTTCGTGTACGGATATACGAATAGCTTGAAAAGCACGATGCAACTCTTCATCCCATTTCCTTGATGGTCCTTAATATATGACGCGATTTTGACAACGCGATTGATTCTTTCTGTAGGATTAACCTCGATACCGGTCTGCTAAATTTTTTAATTCTTATGTAAAATTGTAAGCCGTTGTCGCATGGCATAATTTGGGGAACTCCAAAAACAATGAAAACTTGATTTTTACCAACTCTGTGCTTTCCTTAAGGGGAAGCACAGTATGTATTAATCAGCTACTTTTGAAGTGTGACCACATCGATCCAGGAGTTCCCTCTTGCATGGAAAAAAATACAAAAATATTACTTCAAACTGTTGGACACGTCGCCATACACGCCGTCATTTTACAAATACAAAGTCGCATCTCAATAGTGGACGATTTTTTTTCTTGATCCGTGAAAGGGCTTGCATAGCCCCGGATTGGACCGTCGGAATACCGGGAAAATCATGGCGGATTTTTCTTTGCGGGACCCATTTCAGAAGATCCACTTAATTACAATAATATAATAAAATTTATTCAACTCGATGGCATGTTCTGCAGCATTATCTTCAACTATATCAGAAAATAGGCTGCCATTTGCTCCTTGAGAACTCTTGAAAACCTTTGGAAACTTATAGAAACTATTAAAGGCCAATTAAATCATGACGAATTTTCTAAGATGCCATAATACTCTAAACGGTAAATAAGCCACTCTGCATACTGCAATGAGAAAATAACAACATTGAAGGAAGTTCGATTTGCATTGATCATAATAAATACTAAACATGTATGTAGGAAGTGTTAAAAAAATAATCTTTATTAATGCAAAAAAGTACGTACGATATTTATAATCTCCGCCTTCTTCCATTCTCATCCACAGGATGAATATTTAGTTCAAGGTTGTTCTTATTTTACGAAAACCACAATGATATCAAACAACTTCTGCCTTTATTGCATCTTGTAATTCATTTTGAAATACATTACCAAAATACTGCATGTCTCGATAGGTAGTTAAGTCCTATAAGTGCTTTCCTACTCCTATCCTAAAAGAACGTTACGACTAATCTCTTTTTTATTTTAATGAATTCGAATTTTGTGAAGACCACCTCGTAAATGTATTGTTTGTGACGATGTATTACAATGTGAAATTGTTTTTTACTAAATAAACATTATTATTATTACCTGCCGTATTTTATCTATATTAGGCAGCACTCCTTCATGGTCTGGTCAGTACGTTCCCCTCTTCACCTCTTGCTTCTGGTTCGCAATTGCCGCAAATTTTCTTCATAACGGTCTAGAATTCCACTCTTATTAGTACGAGCAAAGAGTAAGGGTACTCTTTGGTACGAGTACCTACCTATATTGCAGCATGCCGTTGATGCTCTTGATACAAACTGTTGTTTCTCTTTGCCCCCCTTTTGTGAGTTTCCTTTTTTTCTGTTTTACATTCTTTTAGCTGTATATTTTATATATCTCTTTTTCTGTTTCGTTTTTTGATTCCTCCTGTTTTAACCATTCACTCCACTTCCACTTCACGTACATTGTTAAGTATATTCCAGCATGCTGACTTGCCATGCAAACTCTTTGCGCCCCTTTTACCTGTTTGTGGGCTTTACCTTACTCCGTTTTATATTCTCTTAGTTGTATTTCTTCGTATTATTTTTTCATCTATTTCGTTGTAACCAGTTACTCCACTTTTAGTTTCCGTGACCATTTTCAGTATTTTAGGTGCCACACATGCTTTATTTAACTATTATCTAAAAAAAATGCATAATTCAAGATTCAAAATTTGTAATGAATAAATAACTTCGTTTCTTATTTACGTATTAAATGGTCGCCCTGTATAGTTGGATCAAAAATACATCAGATGCAGTAAGAAAATATGACAGAATATATCTTTATTAATACAAAAGAACAAAATATCGTCTTGACAAAATTCAGCACTTAGAACCCCATTTTAAACAACCTTCAAAGGTTCCATTTGCTCTTTTGTATCCTCTTTGGCACTTTTCTTGCTCCCACAAACAGATTTAAACCACGTGTCGTCGGTTTTAAACCGTTCACCCTCCTCTATCGTTTGCAACATGGGCTCTCCCAACGTTTCTGGCAAAAATAACATTAAAAATCCTGAAAGTATAGCTATTATGGCAAATATAGTACTGGGCAGTGCTGGATTTAAAGAATCTAACAGCCCTATCAACGGAGTTGCGGTACCCGACAAACGCGCACTCATTGCTCCCAATCCCAAGGCAGTATTACGAACTGCTGTAGGAAATAATTCGGCCGAGTAATTGTAAACTATGGAAAAAGAGCTAGAGATCGTTAATTTACCAAGCATAACTAACAAGGTACGAGTTGTGCCACCTTGGAACAAATACGCAGCCACACAACAGCAAATACCTCCTGATATCATAAAGAATGATACTAGAGACCTACGCCCGGTTCTGTCCATTAAAAGGATAGTTACAACGTATCCGGGCAGTTCCACGCATCCCGCCAAAAATAGAACTAAGTAAGGGTTTCCGTATAATTTGCCAGTTCCTAATGAGAGCCCATAATAAACTAAAGAGTTTGCAAACCAAGAAAAGCACACATTCAAAGTTCTCTTTCGCAAAATCGGAGTTTTAAAAAGATCTGTGACACCTACATTAACTTCTTTTTCATGGCGCCTGACAGTTGCCTTTGATACAAATTGCGATGCGTCTACAGTAATCGCGCTGCCGTTAACCTTGAGCGCTTTTTGCACTATTTTAACGGCTTCATTGACTTTACCATTGGCCCACAACCATCTGGGAGATTCATCCATTAACCACCAATGCCCTAACAAAACCACACCGTGTAAACCATAAACTAACTGCAGCAGTTGTCGATCTGGTATAAGCGCGCCCCATCCAGCTACCAACATAAAACCAAACGAAAAGGCGGCTTGAAAGCTAATTCCGCACACAGTTCGTCTACTCGGTCCAATCAGTTCCATAGCCAAAACGAAACCGGGAATATAGCTGCCGGCCGATCCAAATATTCCGTAGAAGAATTGGACAATCAAAAAGGCGTAGAACTCGGTAACATACGCAGCTGCAACCCCGAAAACTACTTGCAAAACTGCGCTTCCGCAAAACACATTTTTTCTTCCATATTTGTCAGCAGCGGCACCCAAGGTTAGGGAACCGAAAAATACGCCAAACATATACGCTGATTGTGCCGTCGCACCCATCCACCTTCTATCGCAAACGAAGTGCCAATCCATTCCTCTTGACGACTTGTGGAATGTGGTGTCGTATACCCAGTCGTTGCACTTAATTGTCACATTATCGCTACTATTTACATCGTACATACTACAGGAATCGTACTTTAGAGTCTCTAATACTGGTATATACCTATCCAAATTCGTAATACTGAAGTTTCTGGTTCCTAAGTCGTCATCGATCGTAGGTATGGCACATCTGCAAAATCGCAAGCGTTTAAAGACGTATAATATGCCTAACGAAACTTACCTGTGATCTGGTACGGCTCCAACTGTCACCAAGCTTAACATATTGACGGCGGCAGTCATTGCTGATAGTAGCTGGAGGCAAAATTGCCAAAATTGGTATTTACCAAAATCGCCTGCAAGTAAGGAAGTGTTTGAGCCTTGGAATTTAATTAGCTAAACTTAGAAATGATTCAATTAAATAGGGCTTGAATTGGAGATCGTATAAACAAAAAATAAATAATAGAAATATAAATTTACACAGTCGTAACGGTCATCTTGAACTGTAGACAGATTCTGCATGAAGAGCCTTTGTCTTTCAAAAATCAAAATAATGGAGCATGAATGAACAACAATAGGTAATAATGGAAACATATGAATAGAGTCACATTTTTTGAGAATTAATGGTATGATTTAAGACAAAAGACCCTCCCAATCTCTTCGTGATGGCTTGATGGTCAGTACTATTTCATTCTGTATGTTTAAAGGATAAATAAGAAGATTTCAATTCGAATTTTGTATCTAAAGTTCGATTTACTTAAGGTCAAGTACCTTAATTTGGACAAATTAGGTACGTAGCTTTAAAACTACATGTAGAATAGTAAGAAAATTAATTTCGAAGCTTGAGAATAAAAATTATCTATAAAATTTCCTGCACAACACCATTTCTTACATACGGAGCGGAGGTATAATTTAACTCTCACGTTCTTATGCTATAATAAGAGTAATTTGGTGGTGGTATAAACCCTAAAAATGTTTGCACCATTAATTTTACATACTAAAACACGATTGTAGTGTGACACATAACTTGAAACTAGCATACAAACAAGGCACACTCCCGATTCTAAAATAGTATATTAAGATACAAGTGTATAATCAAGTCTTTAAAGCACGCGCAACGAGTTTAAGGGCACGACGCAAAGCGGAGTGCCTTTAAGTTGCAAGTGCTTTAAAGACCAATTATACACGTGTATCTTATAGTATTTTTTATTATACCTGCAGTATAATTTAAAAATAGGAAATACAATGAAGTCATATTGACGTTATACTCGAATACATGTTTAATTAAGTGGGCTGGGTGTTCGTAATTTCACGATTGCCATGGAAATATCACTTGACTTTGCTTATAAAAATCACCGTCTTTGTGAATTAAACTATTTCCGTTGAAAAAGATAATACACTGTCCATTAAATCGATTGTTGTAAAATCTATACAAACGTTGGTAGGTGTAAAATCCAAATCCAATAAAGCCTATTATAAAGAATATGAAAAGTTGTTTCCATGGATGGAATAGGAAGTTACTTACGAATAAAGTCTTAAATGCATCCATAATGCTGGCATATATGAATGAAATGTCAAAGGTATTTAAATCTTCTATATTTTGGTGCATTCATTCAAAACTTTAAAGCAATGCTGCGATTAAAAAGTGGAACAGATTTGGAAGCATACCCTAATTACGCGCGTTTGTGAAAGCTTCAACCAAAGGATAGGTACAAAAGCCAAAGAAATGTTCTGCATTTACAGAAAGCGACCTAAGAGGATTTTTTATTTCATCCAGATGACTGTTTCAAAAGTCATACTTGAAGTACCGTTACTTAGCAACTTTAAAGCACGTGTGTTTTAAAGGCCCTTTTTCGCACGCATTTGAGTGTTTAAAACGGAGATTGTGATTCAGGTATAATAAAAATAATTTTAATTAGTCACTACACCGCACAATCAGAAACTGCTACCATGTTCATATTGACCAAATGACTAATCGGATACGGTATACTCCAACTAAATCTGGCGGTATTGCTAGCCTTTTTAGTATTGGATTTGGATCAACGATTCCGATTGATAACAACGATTTAGCATCTGGGTTATCGGAAAATTCGGCAAAATTACATTTTTTGAACAGAACAGAACATCCTGTATATTTTGCATATATTATAGAAGACGAATTTCTTATTTTTTGGTGTAGGTCAATAACAGTAACAATGCGCTGAAATCAGATTGTAGTAAAACCTTCAACCGTTTTCTCACTGAAGTTCGAAAATCCTAAAAAAAAGTCGGAAATACCGGGGTAATTTTGCCAAACGAGTTCAGATATAAACGACTCCTGCCGCATTTACCGATTTAATACTCAAAATACGTATGCAAATAGTTTTTAAATGTAGTCGTTTTTCTTAAGCAACAGTTATGGGAAATTGCAACTCCATTTTAGGAGTGGTCGGGCAATCCAATCTTTATGACGTACCTGATTGAAAACCAATCTACAGATATCACACATGCCAGAATTAATACATAATCTTAATTTGTATGATTTTAAACGTAGTCCTTTTCCATCGGCAAAAGCTATGGGGGTTGAAAGCCTAACTTGGTCGATCAACCGAATTGAGTTGTGGTTGAGTACCGGTTGTGCTAAGGGGGAAATAGTGGCAAGAAAGTCCCATTTTATAGTTTTTTTACATACAACGTGAAAACGGCGGGTTAAAGAAAAAAATTCTGTTCATAAAAATGAAAGCTTTTAAAACTTTCTACAATTACTTTCATTCCATGTTCATAATTATGAATAACACGCACATTTTGACCATCCAAAGGTGAATATTTTCACATGTGCGTTATACATAGGTATATTAATGTATATGATATGATGATATGTATAGAGCTGTTTCTCCAATAACTTAGTAACGAATTGTTGTCTAAGATTACTATTTAGGGGTTATGAAATATATCTTACAGTACAGTAACCATATACAACTAGGGATGAACGGAAGAGTGACCCAAAGTTCGAGATGTCAAGACCCGCCAAGATAGATTAATAAACCTATAAGCCTCAGTAATCTTTAGTAGCCTCGATTATTGATTTTTAGCACATCTTCTCTTGGGGGTACACTATTAATTACTGTTACAATATTCATTATAGAGGATCTTCAGTGCCTCAAAATATATCACTCCTTGATTCCAGTGAATGGCATTAACAACATACAAGATTTCGTACCGTTGGTTATTTATTGAGGGATTGTAAAGAATTGTCACATAACATTCCTGTACACCTTTATCTAATGTTACAGAAGTATTCTATTGAAGAACATAAGGTGTAGTGCGACATTTTTAAATAGAAGAGCTTGAGAATGACCAACCGTATACTTCTTCGTGACTGTTTCAAGGCAATAGATCTGAGTCAGAATCAATAAGAAGAGAAGCTAGAAAACTAAAGGATGCAACGCAAGTTACCAATGATTACCTTGAAAGATTCACCTTTTCATATCAAGTTGCAAAACAGATCCATGAATATTAATATTGTTTTTCATGTGTGCAAGGGATTCATTACAATATAATAGCAGTTCGATTAATTGCATGATGCTATTAATTTAATCAGTCACTTGTCTGAGATGAAATTGAATATCTTTGCCTACTCATTGTATACCGAGGTATTATTGTTTAATTTATATCATCATCTTGATACATGGAACATTCGTACAGACAGTTGTGGCGAGGCCTCTGATTTATTATAGCATATATGAATTATAATTGGGTAGACATAGGATTTTCCAGATTCCATCAGTGCGCTATAATGCAATTAAAATTAAATCCACTATTATGAATATTAAGAAATTATTGTTTGCAAAATAATAGAGCTCGCCTGGTGATTATCACAAATATATTGGATTAAGATGTATAGCTTGTAAAAAGTAATTGATTTTTTCATAAAAAATTGACGAAGACTTCAAATGACTTCAAGGATTTCAACATTCGTAAGTCGTTTTGTAAAAAGTTTTATTTTAGTGCTTTTTTTATTTATTAACGAGCTGGTATTAATGGGCGACCCAGCGCGTTCAGGATTTTGGACTTTTTTTCGTCTGTCGGGTGCACATGAACTTGCGAACGGTTACGAATGTTCCAGTTCTGTTTTCAGTAATAGGTAGACAATGGTCAAAGGAGTAAATGATTCAATTTTGGTCATTCGGACCTTCTGTCCGTCCATCTGTGTTTATCGCTCGTTATCAATATTGGTTTGAAACAGAAAATTTATTTTTAAGCCAGCGGCTATTACGAGAAACTACATTCAATGTCAAAAAATTCATATACTCACACAATAAGGGGAACCGCCTACCGATTTAAAGAGAATTATTTGCTCTTCTCCAACGAAATTGTTAAATAAATGGGGATTTATTTTGGAGATTTGTACTATGCTCTCTACATAAAAAATACGAATTTGGTGATGAACTGGAAAGACTATAAAGTAGTTCTGTGGATCTGGGCCCAGTGTTAATTTAGCCTCAACGTTTTTAACAACATTACTAACCGATAAGCTGAGTAATTATATGAGAAACCACTGTACCTGTACATGTGCGTAAGTACTCTTCAGCTCGTGTCAGCTAAAATATTTTCAGTTTCATACGAATTCCTGCAATACCGTAACTTCTAATTATAAAAGGGTGCTCTATTTTTTTTATAATTTTTTCTTAAATTTGCACTAAATTTGGACTGAACTTCAAATGTTAACAACTTATCATACTACTAAAACGAATATAGTGAGAATTTCAATTGCACATTCAGAAAATAAATAGATAAAATAATAAAGTTATAGTATTTCTCATTGGACGAATAATTTTTATTATTAAAAAATTGTTGAACTTTGTGAAGCAAAGTACTAAGCTACTGGAGCGTCACTTTTCGAACGTTCCATAAAATCAAACTCGAGGCGATTTGGCAATACTTTCGGACCATTTTATGGCATTAATAACACCGGATAAGTTTCAGATTACAACATCATTGCAGCGATTTAACATTTTCTAATTTACATAATTGCGTATCCAATATTTAGTTAGCAAAACAAATAAATTCTCGTTCTACGTCAGCGGTTCTGTATAGACGTCCAAAGAAGTGTTGCTATGTAGAGGAGACCTATTTCTAAATGTAAAATTATTCATACTTTTTCCGCTTAAGAGCCACTACATGGAATTCCCTGTACAGCGGAGTTTATGTTACATCACGATTAATTAAGATTTTTTTGTTTTAGTCAATCAAGTTCATTGCTATGCGCCATAAATAAATAAAACCTCATATTTGAAAGGGCAGAGGAAGCTACTAGCCAGAAAAATTCAAAAGTTAGCGTCCTAGCCAGAAAAATTCAAAAGTTAGCGTCCTTCTTTTCCAGATAAGCAAAGAACCGAAAAAGCGATAAATGTCTGCACTCTCTTCTAAATAAACTTAATTTTCGACATCTTGACTAGACTAGTATCTGTGCTACTATGAAGGGACGATTTGGGGTTTAACAAAAATTGAAAAACAGCAAGCTCGAACTCGTCGGTTTTTGCATATACGTATGTCATTTATAAATTTGTTGACATTATGGCACAAAGTTCATTTGGTAAAAGGATTATCTGCAATAACACTTGATTTGGGATTTAAAAAATAAACTCCGAGAACTGGATACCTACTAAGGAACTGCACTCAATTGCACCAAACACACAAAACATATTACCATAGTTCAAGCATTATTTGTTTGCTCATTTATTTGAATTTAACTAGAATTAACCCTAATCATTGTCAATTAAGAGATCGGAGATTTACGAAGCACTTTAATGATATAATTAATCCATGGCTCATTTTTGTATACTTGAAAATTGCTAATGTAGACAATACAAATTGCAGGTAAACCAGGATTCTAAACCTGTTTCAGGATTTAGAAGTAAGAAGAAATTATTATAATCTCCTAGTATCTCTTTTTTGTGTTTCACAAGGACACCGGCTCTAATAACAAGAAGCAAGTATTGAACGTCCGTCATTTTAGGTTAATACTTGAGCATACTGTCCTGGAGGATTCAAATTCAGTATAAATAAAGCAGATGTTTCAAAATTCCTTATGATCACTCAGTTACTCCACACTCCAAAAACATAGATTTTCATTTTGGGGTTGTACGTATCTTTCAGATTGAAAAAAACTCTGTACAAACGGCTTATCTCTGTATTATACTTTCAAAAAATAAAAGGGAATAATCACTTACACTTTTCTGCAAATTAAATGTCTTACCTTTTGGCTGACATTTTCTCCTGCATGAGTGGTAATGAGGATGGAGTGGTTGATTATGGTAATACACGCCAAATCAGTACTAGGTACGCTACTTAGGCGTCCAAGAGAGATGTAGGTACGTACACGTTAATACCTAAAATCAAGTTTCAAAAAATATTAATAAAGCATACCCAAAACTATTGGCTTCAAACGGTCAACTGAATTCTGTTTTCGATCGGCGCTTTCAGCTGGCTGGTATTTCAAGTACAACTCTTCCTTGTGTTATATTTATTTCAGTCTCCCTGTTGATTAGTATAATTTTTAGTTAAACTTTTGTTATATAATTTTTTTTATTATGTAGGTATTTATTTTGCCTTTATTTTTGAGTGGGCGGGGTTTCAGCCAAGGCTGCTCTACCAACCCAACCCACTCTACATTTACAAATATCCATGTCCGAACCCGGATTCGAACGACGGACCGTTAGCACCACAGTCCAGCTTTAACTGAACTGCGCCACACGTGACACGGGCCGGCAAAATATAGATACTATACAAGTAGCGAAAATCGACTGTCAAGCAGTGCGTCAAGCTATTTATAAACCGTCATGTACCTAACACTATTTCCCCAACTGGAGAGATAAACTTAAAAAGTTGAAATCTCGGTTGAAACGATCCTCAATTCCGATTATTGACTAAATGACGATTTTTGTCGTTAAAAATGAATACCATAAATTGAATAGTACCTACGTATTACAGTAAATTCTTGTCTGTTTTTTGTAGAATTCGCGTGTGACATGTTGCAATAATCCAAATAGATTAATCCCAGTTTACTTCTATAATTTAACGGTTGTTTAACACAGCTTGGGATACCTCTAGATCAAAATTTTGGGCATTCTTGAGTCAACAGATGCATCAGAACTTCATCATGACGATGTTAGAGGTATCAGTAGAGACCCGATTAGGTTTCAGTTATTCAAATGCCTAAAGGCATTGTTTGAAGTATTTAAACAATTGATGCCTTCCCTATTGGTTTTTTTTGTGGGGATGAAAGGTGATAGTGGCGGAGTTTATTTGTTCCCGGAATTCTGTGATGTACGACGGCGTATTTACGCGAAACTTTAAATTTGAGAATTCTGAGAAATATTTCTCTAGTGGCCCCAAGTACAGAAAAATATTGGATAAAAATATGGAACAAGAGTTACATTACCTACCAGAACTTTGCAAAAACGTTTGAAGTTGATCGACGTGCATAAGGCAAGGCACCACATAAACGTAGCATAGTTTCCTTTGTTGAAGAAAAAATTTGTAATTCGGAGTAATTAAATTAGACACAAATTTATGCACCAAAGATGTTTACATAAAGATAGCGATTTTTCTTCGAATACGAAGATTTTTCGTAGAATTCTTAATCTTTTCTAAGAATTTGATTTTACTTACTTCGAATTCTAAAATTATGTAGCGAACATTCCAGAAACTTCGATAGATATCGAGGTGCCATGACATCGGCGATAAAGAAAGAAGGCGGATGTGGAATTTGACATGTTTGTTTCTAGTACATTCTAGAAAAGTCGGATGCCTTCGGAAGCGCGCAAGATTTTTCGAAAGAAATGGGACGTTTGCTATATAAGCAAAGGAATTGTACGTGTTTCAGTTCAATTCTAATTCCGCGCCGAACTAATAAATACTTCGCGCTGTTATTTTTTGTGTATTTCCGAATGATAAATAATCCATCAATGTCTATTTTTACTATTATAAATTAATAAATTTCAAGCTGTTATAAATTTATTGTTAATTGTCATAAATAAAACACGTAATTAAATTTACTTTACAATTATTTCTCAGAATTCTCTAATTTGCTATTATTACAAAAATATGTCTTGTGGCCATTGTACGTTTTCATTGTTTAGTGACGAATGCTCGAATACCTATATGTATAAGCCAGAAGGTATATTCACCCATACATTTCATACGTAATTGAAAAGGAATTGCTTGGGTAACACGACACTGTAGGATGGGTAGGTAGTACCGAGGTTAGTACTAAATTAAGCATACACTTAGGCGAATAAAAATTATTTTAAAAATACGTATGTGTACCGACGACTAATTAACGTGTACCTACAAATTAACAATGTTGTTCAAAAACACTACAAGTTCGCATATTATTGAAGCAAAAAATTAAACCCAAAGGAGACAACGATTGAGCGCAAGTTTGAAAGTTTATTACCCTTACGGAAATTATCGATTGCCTTTGATTGCCTTTGCGTGTATTTTGGACATACCACCATTAAAAGATAAATTCTGTTCTTACATTATTATTTATTTAGGTCATCGTCTACTTCTAAATGTTCTCCACTAAATTCGTGAAATTCAGTTACAGTAACGATTTTTTACTTGACCAATGGCAATTTAATATCTTAACAATGCCCTGTTGACTATTCTTGTGTGAACAGAACGAAATTGTTACTTTTTGAAACACTACCCAGTACTTATCTTCACTATTTAATTTATCAAATCAGTAAAGTAATATCAATCGAAAAGAATCGCCTGTAACCTGCGCTAAATCAAAGCTGTAGTACCTACACTTGACCCTCTGCGCTAGATTTCACACTTACATGAGACAGACCGAAGATAGACATGCTTATTCATAGGAAATCCCAAATATTTTTCGCATTCATTAAACAAGTAATGTTAGTTTCAATTCACTTTATATTAGGAATATACAGACGGATAAAAAGAGGGTATACCTACATCATGGCAGCATTCAAATGCTTGCAAAAATAGCCTCCCATTTCTTTCAATAACATAATTATTTCACAGAGATATACCTTCTTTGCACTGTAATTAGAAAAACACCGCATACCATGTGCATTATAACAAACGAGACTACCATGATTTAAAAATATGTGCAGTGTAACTATGCAAGGAATGACAAATCTAACAATAAAACACATTTATTAACATACAAGATCAACGAGGATTTAACGTATGTCCAGTGCAATTTGGTCACCAAACATAGATCCAGTCTTAAAGCACATCTAACATCCACCATTTGTTAAGACATAGACCTGTCAAGGATTTAAAACGTGACTGGTGTGAAATACAATACCGTAAACCCATTTGTGTTCTATAGAAATTTAACACGCCACACGCCAGTGAAATGCAGGGAATGCCAACTCAGTGCGCACGATCAGTATTCTACTGTTGGCTATCTCTCTCACATATGATGGCACAAAGTTAGTGGCTGTAGGCTATATCTGCGGAAGAATTATATGATCTAAGCACAAGGGCATCATTTTAAATGTAAGCGTATAGGATCAACAATATTGTGTGCACCACGGCACGAAAGTGGTTTTCCGGATCTGAGGAAGTGGCCAGTCTTGGCTTTACCTCGCCAGGCCATATCTTCCTTTCGACCAGAAAAACATCCACTTTCCCACCTTGGTACATAATAATGATTTTTGTACAACTTCGCCCTCATTAATCAAAGTGCAAATTCATGAAAAAAAGACACTTTAAAGACGTGTTGTACACAATTTTTTTCCATGGTGATTCTAATATAGCCCATAATTGTATAATATCATTGACATTCGTGATTGACTCCCACTCAAAAATGTATGCTATTGAGCATAGATAGGACTAAACGCCATGGAAACGCATATAGTAAAAATCGTGAAAAAGATACCAATTTCCATACGATTTTTTTGACAAAAAAAGCCCGGTAATTGGATCACTATGGAAAAAAGTACTATTATGCCACTTTTGACCCACCAATTTTGATATTACGATTAAAATCTAAGGGTTTTAAATTGACATTTAGTCACCCATGTCTTCCGATCTTCTCACTCGACTTCTCATCAGGGTGGCGACAGAAAGTACTTCCAGCACCCAACTTTTATACTAAGTTTTACAACTGCAGATAAACGCAACTTGCAATCATTTTTGTGCACCCTTAAGCCCCAAAATTTAGAAATTTTCTGACTTTGAATTTTTGTATTAAAATTTTGGCACCCCTTTCAAATGAAATGTTATGGATTGGAGCTTTTGACTGCAGCGGAGGACTGAATAAGTGAATACCTCTATAACCCCAAAGCAAATTTACTATCTCCCTGATCTGAGCGGTCTGTAAAATTGTTATACCTTCAAGTCTTCGCCGGAGAGAGGATCCAAAACGTAGGTACTATCCGAAAAACCATGCTTTTCAAAAGCACTGACTTTTTCTGACGTCTAATGTCTGTTTTATAACGCACACGCACCATTTTGTTACAAGTAGGTAAAGTAGTATCTAGATCTACCTACTAACATTCACACACCCCACTTTGTTAGCAACGTCATTGATGCACAATGCATGAACTAAGTCTAAGTGTCCTCCAAAACGCCAAGCAAAGGTTTTCAAACAATGAACCTTAAGAAAATCGCAAACGCAACTATTAGATAACAAATTCCAACGATAAAACTAAATAAACAACGTACTCTGTGTACACTCACTGCTTATCACGCATTCCTGTTATAAGAGAGGATACCAATGGTACAGATCATCGATGTCACTTTGCTCTTATTATTATAACCTTGGAGCAAAAAGTGCAAGCAACATGTTTAGTCTCAATCAGTTTACATTTTCCAATCAGAATCGACCGGAATAGGATACTACATTTTACTATCTTATTCCGGTTGATTAACGTGACCAGCGTGAAACTACTATCACCTCGACTATCACAGATGTAAATATACGGAATAGGGGGGTTTTAATTTGATCATTTTCTTTTAATTTCAACTTTATATCTTATAATCTAATTATTATTACATTTTTTGAGTTTGAAAAAAAAATGCATTTGTCTGTTTTGAAAAATATTACCTTGTGTTAAAAGATGCTGTAACTTTTTTATTTTTTTATTTCACTTTGTAGGGTGATTTTAATTTGATCCTTTTCTTTTAATTTCAACCTTATATCTTATAAATAATCATTAGATTTTTTGAATTTGAAAAAAAAGCTTCCATGCATTTTTCTGCCTTGAAAAAGATTATCTTGAAGCACGGTTAACTGATGTGTTAAAAGATGCTGTAACTTTTTTATTTCATAAATTTTCAAAATTATTATCGTGCATATTTCACTTAAATTTAGATATTTTCACATCAAGTAACACCACTCGAAATGCCATCTACATAGTGGGTATAATCGTTAATTTGTTAATTCTTGAAAGTTAGTTGATGTGTATTGAGTTCCAAGCACAGCCAGGTTTCTGAAAATCCATGACACAAGGAAAAGTTATAGTATTTTTTTGTTGACACATTTCTTCTCCTCTTATTTTCCCAGATGCATACAAATACATAGGTACAATATGAGTTTTCAAATTTTCCCGTTTTTATGATAAAAAATGTTTGATACATATATGATTCAATTTACAGTTTTAGGAAAGGTATATGTTTTGGGAATATTGTAAGAAACTAAAAACAGTTTCCAGCATTTTCTCTTGGCAACGCTTATAAAAAAATTACATCAAAGCTCATTATTACTTTAGCTACTAGGTACATACATACTTCTAATTCAATATAGACTTTATGGCAACACGTTTCTTTTAAAAGTTGGATGACATTCAATTTGTTCCACAAAAAGCACCTCTTGTCTCTATTTTCTCCATTCGCAAGATTTTTTCAAATGGAAGTTGTCACCACTCGTACTCGACTTCTGTTACGCACCTTCCACTTATTTGAGTCTTTTATAAAACAACGTCTCGTAACGTGCTGACACACAAACGACTAAAGTACGTGGATAAATTTTAAACAAAGATCTGAGCAGGACGACCAGGCGCACGTACAGAGAAAACCGTTACAATAGCGTATTTTCTTTTATGTTTTTGTACTAAAAATACACCAAAGCTATGCACAGGTATATAATTTTTTGAGTGTAGCCTACCTTACACTATTCAACGATTCTCCTATCCCTTCTTTTCTTCTTGAAATTACCAAATAAATAAACAGTAGCTATATCTTGCGATTTAAAAAAATTTACCTTACCTATGGTTTTATAAACAAACATTAAAAGATTCAAGAAGTGCCATTTGTTGACAACCGGAACAACAACTTTTGTGTGAAACATTTTTCCATAAAGTAACATACAAAAATTAACGTAAGTCCGCACGTTTTAGATAGTCAATGAAGTCCTTTGTGAGATATCTTAGTCATTAGTCTCAGCCTTCCGTATGCTAATAATGTTAGTGCCAACTGGTCCATGAAGCGAAATTCGTACGTGAAAATGATCCGCACACAATTTCCAAAGATTTACATCTTTTGAAACGCTCCTAAAGCCTCTTGAATGAAAAAAAAATTACAGAAATTATTCCGTATGTTAATTTATTACAGGGTGCGAAATGGTTAGGAAACGAAATGTGGTAGCCAAAAATCTCTTCAAGAATCACTGTACATTTACTAATTTATCCTCAACCCCACAACATTTTATTCTATCCACTATTCCTATCTCGAAAACTATAAGAGCTACAATGTCGGTTAAATAAGCAAAGAATTTCTATTTTACAATACAAGACTATTTTCATGAGCACGAGAAAAAATTTTTGAACCAGTGGTTCGCAAACTGTGGATACCAACTTTGTTATATTAAATGGAGCTATATTTTTTTATTTCTCTATTCGATAAAGAATTCAGTGATATATGGCATTTTTATACCCTAAGATAACAATTTTTATGAGAAAAATGCATGTTCACATATAATTTCATTACAGCTAAAATAAGTGTGCCATAGACGAAACAAGTACAAATTGTACAATGCGCAAAGAGTAACGCAATATTTAAATGATATGTTCCCGAATCAGTGGATTGGTACTTACGGCCCTATTTCATGGCCCGCCAGGGCGCCTCATTTTAATCAAATTTTTTATAGGGCTATTTAAAGGATAAAGTTTACAATAATATGTATCCAGATTGACACCATCTAAAAAACCAGCATAGAAAATGTTTTAAATAAGATTGATGGCCGAACAAGAGTAATTGGTTTTCACGTTTATTTGGACCACTTATTTTAGCCAATTTAAAATAAAACTAATATAAATCTAAACATGCATTTAGTTATTTTAGCTATATAGTTATTCCATTTAAAATAACAAAGTTTGTACCCACAGTTTCGGAACCACGGGTTGAAAAAATAATTTTTCGTGCTCATTAAAATAGTCTTGGAAAATAGAAATTGTCTGCTAATTTAACCAACCCCGTAGCTCTTATAGTTCTCGAGATAGCAATGGACAAAATAAAAAGAAACATACCCTTTGTATCTGACTTAGATCCAAGGCCGTAGCTAGGGAGGGGCCAGGTGGGCATTGCCCACTCTGATAAGAAATGTTGCCCACTCTAGAAAAATTGGTTGGATCTTTAAAAAATAAGAAATTAAGTACCTAAATCGCTCAAAAAAAATTAAATTGTGTGTATTTATATTTAGTTATATTTATATCTAGAAAGTAAGGAGGTTGAGGAACGGAACATTCTTAAAGTTCTTTACAATCAACGTGATGCCTTTAAAGAATCTTACCAATTGTATGCAACTGTGGCTGTATTTGGCTGTAGCACAGCTATGTGTGAGTCTTCATTTTCGACCTTAACCCGATTAAATAGACCACAAAGGTACTCAATGTCCCATAGTCGAATGGCCAACCTAACATATTTAGCGTTTGAAAGCAAACGTGCAAATAATATAAACTTGGATGTGTTCTTAAACAAATTTAATAACAGAAAAAATAGAAAATTGCAATTATATTAGTGTTTTGTATATTATCTTATTCGTCATGTTATTAACCTTTTTTTGTCTTTTATATGTATTAATGTATATGTAAACGCATTGATTTTATTTTTGCATTTCAAATATACCTTCTTAGTTGTTTTTTTTTGTTAAGGGATTTTTATCGTCACCTGCTTTTAAATTATTAAATAATTTTGCCCCCTCTGAAATTTGAGTTGCCCCCTCTGAAATTAACGTCTAGCTACAGGCCTGCTTAGATCATCATTATTATACGAAGTGGAACAGGTATCTATCTTTAAAAAATGGTTTGACTCTGAGAGCCTTTAGCCATGATTCGAACTTTAAATTGGAATTCGAAGGTTTCTTTGGAAAACAACTTTGACTAAAATGACGCTTCTGTGAGTGGGTATAGGTATTAAATTTGAAACTGAGTATGTTGTATTAAGCAACAAAAAATTTCTTTAAAAATTTGAAAACATATTATCACACTAAAATCAGTGAAGTACCTAAATACAAGAATTTTAATGCGACTGAGCGAAAACGAAAACATGCAATAAAGACTAAATAAAATGCCTATATACTGGACAGTCCTGATTAATAAGAATCTTCATTTGGTAACACTAGCATAAAACGTATATTTATTAACCTGTTCCTTCTGAGTCAACGACTATATATTGACCAATTTCAAAAGCCTTAAATGCCGTTATCCTCTCTGACCATATTTCACTGAAAAGAGCACTTGAGTTCAACGACTTTGGGTGGTACCTAAGGGTAGTAAATATACCTAAGTACAATACTAAGTGATCCGAAACGTTTAAATACACAATTCGGATAAGGTTTTTAATAGATGCTTCTTCCCTGCTGCGAGGTTATTCCACGTCAAACTACGATGAGGGTGCAGCGTTCCCGGCATAAAAAATTAATCGAAATTCTATCGTCCAATCTATATTAGTAGCGCGCGAGATGTTAATCTTAGTTTAAATGTTAACTGCCAAACGAACAATTTATTACGATGGTAAATTCGATTTTATTACACTTTTATAATCTAATGAAGTGTTTAACGGTATTACCTTCACATTAATATTTGCACCATAAAAGTACTTTCAAAATACGAACGCTTAAAAAAAAATTTGTGAGAACCGTTGATGCTCTCAAATCGTTTTCATTTATACTTTATTGAATAAAAGTGAAACATACCTAAATATCCCATCAGTGTTTCTATATCGTTGCTATTATCCATCTTGCTTGGTTCAGAAACAAGTAGACAGTAACTTAAAACGTCTCTTCACTTTCGTGCTATTCACTTTTGCACAAATTTTAAAAACTAACATACACGCACGCCTGCGCTTTCATTCGTTCGTTCAATCGTACCTCCACTACCGATTTAAATTTTAATACACAGATGAACAACTGGTTTTCTGCAGGTATTTGTCTTGTTAAATCTAATTAAACCACTCGAATAGGTTACGGTAAAATTGAAACCCTTCAGGAGAGGCTCTGACGTTCTAACCCCCCCGCAGTTTTTTAGAGCAGATCGTAACCACGTTTCCTCAAGCTTGCGACAATTTTATCAATTACTTGCTTCCTGATTTTGGTAAATTAGATTAAACTACAAAATTGTACGTTTCCATGGTGTAGTGGAATAACGATCGAGGGTGTTGTTAATTTTTTACCAATTTATTTAAGTATATGCAGGATCAATACTTCCGTAAGGTGCAGACTAATCCAGTTCACTCCTTACGATCCTAGTTCAATTAGGTATGTAAATTATAATTGTAGAAAAAAGATTTCAAGGTAACGATGTTTAAAATTAAACAAAACTGTAACCACAAAACCCATACACATAATCGTAGGATTGACTTTCAAATTGTTAAGCTAATTAAAGTAATTGCTATTTACTGGCGTTGGCGTCTCAAGTAATTTAAAATCATTACCGATATTTTTCCATCCTTTGTAGATGTTTTGAAAGTTTGTAAAACAAGTAAACGTGTAGGTATGCGTGAACATCCAGTTATTATACTTATGTTATGAGACACGCTGCTTCGTCGGAATCCTTCTTTGCAGGAAAGTACATAAACGTAAGGTGTGGGTGCAATTCTAAAACGAGTTCTGGATTTAACTTCCACATCCGTTATTTCAGCAAGAGTCGATGTACCTGAGTAATTTGATACATATTGCATAAAACATACAAGAAATTAGTTTTAACCAATATTTGACTGAACTGCTTTTTTATATCACAACAAAGAAAATTAAGCAGGTCAGGCGCTGTGAAATTATACACAATTTTTCCTTGGGCAAGGCCCAACGCTTTATTATTATAAGTATAACTTGTTTTTGGATAAATTCCTAGCCAGTTGAGAACAGGTATCACGACACGTGGCTTTATAATAACAGAAACTTAGGCAACAAATCAATCACTTGTACGTATACTTTCTCACGCCTAGGGATTAGGATAGGATCTCCTATATTCCTGTGATATATACGCCATCTTTTGTATACTCCGGTAATTGGTAAAATCAATTTCAATACTACAAATCTTTGTATTAAATTTGAAAGAAAGAATTTTGTGCTATTGGAGGAACAAACTTGTACTGTGACCATACAAATATACGTCAGCTTTGTTTAGAAATACATATTCAAAAACCGCTGAAGAAGCTGTGTGCCAATTATGACCTATAGTATGATGGCTGTGAAGGTACACCTGAAATATCCATCCTTTTAACCCCTCCGATAACAAAAATGGTGATTTTTCTGTTCGGGAATTATGTTGAAATGTGCGACCTGCGAGGTGAAGCAGTACATACTCTTCCCCTAAGCACTGAATTCATTCTGATCTATTCCTAAACTTTAGACCAATCCTTAAATTTATGTTGTCTGAGTGAAGAGACTATAAGGAGCCCGCCCTCAGTGTGTACCTATTAGCATTGAATAATATTCAATGGTATTGGTATTAGTCGGGGTGCTGGGTGGTCAGAGGAATAAACACGTTGATCATGTACGGATTTTCTTTATATTGTTAAATACGAATCGTATGAATATTTACACTTCAAATTAAATATAAGAAAATCTTACCAAGACAAATTCAATTTTATAAGGTTTAACCAGTTTTAACCATTCTAGTGCTTCAGGAGGAATGTGATGATTTGCTTCAAAACAGGGATTAAACTTTCAATTTGCGCATTCCTCAACTAGATGTTGAATTATTTCTTGGCCTAGATTGTGTTCTGGGTTCCATTTGTGTAGTGTAGTATGTAATTGCATCTTCCATGTCCTGTTCTTACACGATTTAATTTGACCCACATTTTACTTGGAAGATCAAACCCTGCAACTTCATTGAACGGTTCTTTGATTAAATCTTGATTAAAAATTGTGTCATTATGCTCTCCCAAAAGCTTTTCAATGTTCTTTAATGGAATATACATTTGAATGTATGTAGTCTTCTTTCCATAAAGGGTTTCGTAATATTTTAATCGATAAAACTGTAAATTATTCAGATCTAAATTTATGGGGAAATCGGGGCTATTTTATATTTCTCCCCCAATTTTTTTTAAAACAATTCTCGTCGGACAATGGTTAGAGTAATGTTGGAGAGAACGTATGACCAATATATAATATAATATGCATAACATTTCTAAGGGAGGGTACGAATTACCCTTTTATGAACATATAGCCTAATTACCTGCATTCATACAATAATTATGCAAGCAGAGGCAATCACCCTAGTAATATAGATTGATCCAAAATAAACGGGTGCACTTAGCAAAGCACAAAACAATACTGCCCCAAATCTCCCCTGTGGAATTCGTAGTCGAAATACTAATTAATATCGACACCCTTCGCCGTCGTGATCAACACGCATGATTGAATTACCCTCTAAGCCTACTTTAAGGTGACGGTTTTATTGGTTTTTAGATAATGATTGCATATGTGAATATGGGAAAAGAAACACGTGTTGTATTAAGAACAAGAACAAGGGCTTTATTAAAGAGCTTTAAATTTTGTAGAATCCTAAAAAATTCGTATTAGAAGTGTGAAATTTTTTTGAATTTTGTTTAGAGATTTTAAGAGTTAGAGCGGTTTAGGAATTACATATGAATAAGAAAGTCTACAGGGTGTCAAAATTAAAGGGTCAAATTGTTTACGGCCGATACTCGGCCACTCCAGGGTCAATGCTACAAAAAGGAGAATGAGCCTCATAGTTTAAAAATTACTAACTAACATCTATATTGCTGTACGTTTGATTATATCAAAAAAATTTCCGCCATATTTTTTAATCTTCGGAAATTTTTTCCGAATATGCAAAATGCACCTGGTAAAGGAGACCTGCAATCCACGAGCTTTTTGACAAAATGACAACGTTAGTCATTCCTTGGTGCAATATTTGTTTTTTGGGGTTTCTTAGACCCTTTTCTATACCCGTTCTCATTCTCTTTCTCTGTTCAGTTTTACCGCAAATCGTTATGCCCGATTTATGAGACAGGTGCGCTTTTAATTATTATAACCTACCCTGCGGATGTGCAATGTTTAACAATATGATTCAAAGCCAAATAAAATCAACGAAAAGCAGCTCACCTATGAAGTATGAATGACCCATGCTTCACTGTCCCAAAAATTCAAAGGGCACCTACTGAGAAGGAAAGTCCGAGGTACTAAAGGGATGCCATTCCTCCCACAGTATGTTAACACGGGCTGCTACCTAAAGAGCCCTAAAACTTATCTCCCCTATTTATATTGTTTCTGACACAAAATATAAAACCACTTTCCTCCGATGAAACATTTTCGAATGTATCCTAAGGTCCTTTAAAACTTTCTTAATTCATTAGAGAGCGATTCACTCATTCAAACGTTTAATTTTACGTAAGTTTAAAAAATGGTACCTCATATAGGGACAACCCTTTTGCAGGTGACAGTTTTGATACAGAATTGGGTTGGATAAAATCCTCCTTTAGTGATAATGAATTAGGAAAGGTAGGTGAAGGATCGCGCACATTCGAATCTTGCCGACGGTAACGCGAAACTTCTGTGAATGTGCAAAATTTCATTAACACAACTTGGAGTTTGACGAGTTGGACCAAAAAATTGAAAACACTTGGTTAGATTATCACAATTAGGAGAAAGCTTCACTACTTAAAAATTTGCACCTTAATGCTCCTTATTGATTTTTTCTAATGCGCCATAATTAAGATGATTTTACGATTACCAAACAACCCTTTTTCAGGTTTATGGCAATTTATACAGCAGATTTAACAATGGCTCTTACTAAAATTACTATAATTCTCCGATTTCCATTCCATTCGGCTCTATTCTCTATTATAGCATTGCTCTTCCGACAGGTGTCTTTCGTTCATGCATTTCTTAATGGCTCCTTTCCATAATGGTCTGAGCCGTCCTTTTTTCTTTCTCTTCGTTTAGGCAATCGCTTCTCCGGCATCCTTTTCACATAATCAAATCATATCAGTTGTCTTTTCCGAATCTCTTTATTGCTCTTCGTTCTTTCCCTATTCTCTGTCTTGTTTCTTAGTTATCTCCCACAATTGCAGTAATTGCAACCCCCAGATATTTGTACTTTCCACATACTTTAATTTCTTAGCCGCCTTCGGGAACTAAGTTCTTGTCCATTGAGTTTCAAACGCATAGGTCTCTTGTTTTATCCATGCTCATCTGTAAACCCCCTTTCTCGTAGTCCTCTTTTATTTTTCGGGGCTAATGTTCCAGGTCCTTCGTTTCTTGCACTATGATCACTTGGACCTCTGCAAACTGTAGTTTGTGAATAAGTCACCATTCTCCTCCATGCCGTTTTTCAGTTTTGGAGTACTTAAGTACTTTGCCAATATATGTTTTGAATAGTGTCGATGAGATGCACCACCCTTGCCTGAATCCTTTTGACGCCGGGAATCCCTTTGAGATTTTTTCACCTAATTTGATTGTAATACATAAATCCTTATAGAACTCTTGTACGGCTTTAATTGTATCCTGCTTGATATTAGTTTCTCGTAGGGTTTTCCATAGCTTCGAGGTTGGTAAGTTGTCGTACGTGTACCATTTATGTGGAAAACCAATTCAAGTCACTACATTTTTTATACTTTCTATGATATACCATGCTCGAATGGTTGTACTCTTAGAAGTTCCAAAATAGCTAATTTCACAACGAAAATTCGAATACAATTTAAATGCAAATTTAGAGCTCCCGTTACAATAGCTGAACATCCACGACAACGACTGTACCAATAATCATCATTATTATTCATCAAGTCAGATTACAATTAAATGTGCAAACGACCAAAGTATTTACACATCAAAGGTGTAACCAATAGCAAAAGAGTACTCACAGTCAAAGAAATTACGAAAATTTTACAGAATGCTCTATGGAAAAGCGGTACATGCATGTTTAACACGATCAATTTCCTGAAACACCTAATGAACTTTACATAAGAATGATATGAATTTCCCTTTTTTGTTAGGGGAAACTGCAATTATTAGCCTTCAGTGAATTATAAGCACGTCCTCGACCATTTGAAATTGTAAAGGGGCTTGCATGTTGCATATAGTAGGTACGTTGTTTGAAAGAAATTTTAGTTCTTTGTACAGCAATATGCAGTTTTGTTAATTAAGTATGTGCAATAGTAACTGACTATTAATTATAAACATTCAACATTTTGATAACGTACACACAAAACTATACCTAGAATGAAGAAGAAATGTCACATTTATTATTTAGTGTATTTTTATTTTGAACACTTAATTTAATTATTATAAAATCAATTGAAAAGTAAATACCTATACTAAATAAATATTTCTTCATTTTACGTAGAGTTTTGGGAGGAAGACATCAACAGTTTACATCTTCAAAATTAATTTTCTCAGTTATAATTGCACCAAATTCAAGAAACTAAAAAGAGGATTAAAATCCCTTTCAAATAAAGCCCGTCGTGCTTATAATTCGGAGGCAGTGTTAGACGTTAGATTTGATTTAATGTTTTCGTACCATAAGTTATCAAACTAATTGTTAAATATGAAATTAAAGGGAAATTTTGGGCAAAAGGTGGTCAATGGGCTTTCAATTTTTATATAAATCCCAAATGCTTGATTTGACGTTTGGGAACACAAAATCAATATTTAGTGTATTATTTCCACACTCCGGGAACGTAGTTTGTCGATACGAATTCTTGCGAGAATGAATTAGGTATCTATTTGGTTTACAATGAAAATAAAGCAAAAAGTCAATGTCTATTTGTACAATGAGTTAATAATTAAATTCAAATAATTCTTAATTAGAACGTGGTACACACATTATAAAAATAAAGAATCAATAAGCGCATTAAACTGATATGTTTGGGGGGTAGGTAGGTATGAAAATTAGGAATACCTGCAAATAATTATGAATAGACCTTATTAGCTGTATATAACACTAATATTATGATGAAATCGAAGCGGGAGTGCTGGATCAACATCTTCCCCTTCCCTCCATTCTCATCCTGTAGATTTTACATCCTTACAATCTCGTTTTCTGATGCAGAGGTCCAGGGACGGACTGGCCCGTGGGGGCAGGTGGCGATTGCCACCTGGCCTGTAGGTCATAATGGCCCGTTGGAAATTTATAAGTAGGGCTAGAATTTTGATGATTTTGTATCTTTTTTTCTGAAAGTCTGAGACATTGCTCTGTCATATATAAACGTGTTTCAGGATAAATTGAATCAAATATTGGACAGCAACTTGCTGGTGCATTTTTTTGCATTCTTTGTCTTTTTTGAGCAATGGGTCATTTTTTGCTAATTTTTACGGTATTTTTAGCATTTTTGTGTGTTTACTTTGAATTTTTTGCATTTTTCGGGAATAGCGGAATTTTTTTTGATATTTTACGGTATTTCTCTTGGCGAACTTATAAACCTTTATTAAAGTTTTATTTTTCATGCAGTCTTATATTTCTAAAACTTAATGCAAAATTTTTCTTTTCTCGGTAGTTCCGGGTATTTTTACTTGTTTAGAAATGAAACCTCCATTGTAAGCTAAATGCATAGGTAACGTTTTCTTGGAACGTGCTTAAGTCATCCACAAACGAATGCCCACTTGGGATGCGGTAAGTGGGTCAGTACCTTACATACCTAGTTTCTACGACTGGCCGAGGGTGGAAATGAACCACCACTGAAATTCCTGTCTTATCTTACCTAATCGCACTACCCTTCTTAACATAATTTTGTGGTCTTATTCAGTTTCATCAATAAATTTATGCTATTTAAAATGTCATCTCTTTACATTTTTATGCCATTTTTGCGAAATTATTAAGTTATTATTATAATTGCATTATTTATTTTGCATTTTCGCTGATTTTTAACGTCATTAAAATCCTAGCCCTATTATAAGTATGTGCTGTATTTAGTTTCTTGCACTATTAATAAATTATTAACACGTTTCTCTTATCAGTTGCAATTTAAAAAAAACTATATTCTAATTGATTTTCGAGAAAGGAATACTTTAAAATGAAGCAAAAAAATTGGCCCGTAACCTATGCAATTCCACCTGGCCCGTAAGTACCCAGTCCACCCCTGCAGAAGTCCTTGAAAACCTGTAGGGACCCCCCATGACACCTTTGGAACCAGGTTTACGCAGAATGTGTGACTTTTTTTTAATACTGCAAAAGGCAGTGTACATTGCATTTAACTTAAAACTGTGAGCTTTTAATAATAACAAATACAAATTTTCTAATGGAAAAAACTTAAATGAATTAGTAAGAAAGTTATAGTTATAAATTAAAAAAAACACCCATGAGATTTTTATGCATAATTGCATTATAAAATTGTACTAATCAATCTTAGATTCGAATTTGGAAAAAATCAGGAGCCCCAGAAATTCTTGATAAAAATACAGTATGATTAGAATTAGATCATACCGTTGAGTGAAAAATTAAGAATGGTGCATAGAGTTATCTTGTAGAATGGTGACGTGACTCGTGAGACATCTTGCTTATCATAGTTTACGAATTCATAAGATATCGTCTCCTACATACCAGTCTAAATTTGGAATACACATGCCATTATAATTAGCGCTCATCATGTACATTGTTAACTAAGAAAACCGCACAGAGGATCAAGATGTTTAAAAATAACACATCTCCACCAAATTAGTAAGATTGTTGATGGTTCTGGCAAATCCTATGCTACACTTGAAATATGTAGCGTAAAAATAGGGACGATTAATTAGGTACACTGTACACATAAATCTACAAACGGTATCTAATTTGAAATGTAATTTAATTTCGTAGGAAAGGTGTTATACCTACCTACTTATTTATATTTTTTTACATACTGATGAAATTATCGGACTTTTTTTAACGAAAAATCGTATGGAAAGTGGTTAATCGCGAATATCAATAAAATTATTCAATTGTGGGTAATAATGGATCACTATGCAAAAAAATTTCGTGTACAACACGTGTTGAAAGTGTCTTTTTTCCATGAATATGCTTCATTAACTCGGGATCATTAATCAAACTGCAAATTCATGAAAAAGTATCACTTTCAAAACTAGTTGTACAAATAACTATTAACGGCGAATTTTTTAATTATAACGTAGACATAGAACTAATCAGCGATAGTCATAGATACATATTTAAATTAATTCACGAAATTCTTTATGATTGATGTGTGTGATAATGGAAGATGGTTGTAAACAGAAGCGTGAGTCCCCGCGCGCAGAATTTTAGGAAATATCACAGACCAACAACTTTATTCTGTAGAAATATCTTGCATTTAATGCCCAAATTAGAACTTATAGTGCTTAGAAGATAGGTACACTACGAAAAAACACACTTTTTTGGTAAAAATAATTAAATTTATTTAACTACTGTACATTTCGTGATATTATCTTTATCATGCTGCGAAAGACGAACTAATAACAGTTCAAATAGATATATAAATTAATGATATTTTGTAAAAGATGAACATCACATATTAAGTAACTTGCAAAATCAACAAAATCGATGAACGAAAAACATTGTCTTGAATGGCGGAGTCTATATAAAGTTTTCAACACTTACACCTAAAACTACGCTGTCCTTAACATCACACTTACATTAAAAAGGTCAGTCAACTTTAATACACGTATAAAAATCGTTTATAAAACGATTTTATTCGACGGAAGTAAAAAAAATATATCACTGGCAATACACCATAAAGACTACGAAATGAAATATCTCGCCGTTAGTGAAAGAATTAATACTAGTAACGATGCCCCTAGGTGTCTACTTCCATTATCTTTATTTCCGTCTTCTTCTATACCGGGTACTTGATCATCACCTAAGAGAAAATACCACCAATTAGATTAATGCCGATGGAGATGGTATGAACATGAAAAAGCAAAATATAATTTAGAAAAGAAGCGAAATTAATTGGTGTAATCCGGCGCACGATAAATTTAAAAGTTTGTATTTGGTATTTCGAAAAAGTTAAATTATAAACATACTTATGAAGTGTGTATTAGCGCTGCAAGCCGTCAGTGGGTGACAGGTCCGTGGTGGACGGGCTCTGGAATGTAGCCGCGGCTAATATTAATAAACCATCTACGTAGAGCTATCGTAAAATTGCATGTGCTATAATATGTATGTTCGTGAAAAATCAACAAACGTGCAAGAAAAACAAAACATGCTACTACATTGAAGGTGCCAACCTAGGAACCTCCCTATGGGAGACCAACTACTACAGGCTAATACAACTAAAAAATCGTGGCAGCGTGCATCACGGATAGTGCTGTTATCCCGCGAGAGCGTGCAGCGTACTACAATACACTAAACACAATTTGGTGTTTAGCGCTATGTGCTATGATTAGTGCATGAGTATTAGACGAGATGATTTCTCTACATGTTAGTCTAAGTTCTGTGCCCAACACCACAAGTACGTATTATGTGCTGATAAATAATCGATATACATACTTGCTGAGAAGAGCGAATTAGTTTACTATCTGTTAATTTTATTACTTTTTGTGATACAGTGTATAAATTTGCACCAAAATTGAACAAGGGTAACTGTCAAGAAATTTACACACTGCATCAAACTGCTAGAGCAAAAATTAGTATTGTACGTTGTTAGAGTTGTGCAAAAATATGCAATTTTATTTTTGAAGAATATTGCATATTATTGCACTACCTACACTCAAAGCAAAGTTGCCTACCTGAGTCGACAGCATCGTATCCTGCATTTGAATTGCTCTGAGAATCATATTCGCTCCCCTCATCAAGCAACCATCCTCGTGTGTTTCTGTTACCTATTGTGCCGCCCGGTGCCGATTTACAGCCGAACCACCAATAAGCGGTGGATCGTGGAAATGCGGGATTTGCTTGCTCTACCGCAAACTGTCTATCATTAAACCTATAGTATGCGTTATCTTTGAAGAAGTATGTGTAGCCGTTCGTGTATTGGAAAGCGGCATCTAAGTTGTTAGGGATACCCTCCCAGTTTTCGATCGGTTTTGGGTACGTTCGTTTAACCGGTGGTCGCTGGGATGGGTCGAACCTCCAGAACTTAGCACCTGAAAACGTAGATGATCAGTACACATCACTAAAGCTGACTGATTTATACCTTTGAAGAAGTAAATTTTGCCATTGCCGCTCCATACCATTGCGGCATCAATATCATCCGGGATGCCGGAGAAACCGTCGGATATCAGCTTGGGATACCCAGGTTCCATATTTGTGCCGACGTACCTCCAGTAGTGCTTTCCTTTGAAGAAGTACGTCTTTCCATTCTTGTAGGTAAATGCAGCGTCGATATCGGATGATAAGCCTGGCCATGCGCTAGAAATTTCCTTTGGGTACCCAGGAGCCACGGCACTCTCGGTCAGTAACCAATATTTTGATCCCTTGAAAACGTAAGTGTGTCCGTCTGCAGAATTGAATATTGCGTCAAATTTAGAATCGCTGCAGAAGCCACTGTCGCCCGGCACAGGAGGGTACGATGGGGGAGGAATTGTTTTTCTGCCTTCGTCGCGATCGGATCCCTCTTCGTGGTTGTCGTCATCGCCAACTCCATTGCGGCGAGTTTTTTTCCCGTACAAAGCCTGAATGCCCTGAATGTCGTCCATGTCGAGATCGAACGTGGGGTCGTAGCCACGATAAAATGGTGCCATGAGTGCGGATCGTACATCGGAGTGGCTCAAGCCCAGGGAATGGCCGAATTCGTGTGCGGCTACTTGGAATAGGTTAGTACCACGGTAAGAGCCTATCGACCAGTTTTCGGACGCATCGAAATGGGCATCACCTCCGAATACCTACAGTGTTGAGGTAAGTTTCTCGGTATGCTGCCAATAATTTAACTTACCGGAAAGTATGCGTGAGCTAAGGTACCGCCGGGTCCATCGAATGGGTCCCCATCACCGTGTTCTCCGCTTTCGAAACGGATTTCGATATGTACTTGTCCTTTGGAGGGTTTAAATGTTAGATCGGTGTATTCAGTCCAAACAGCAAAAGCGCGAGCTATTTCGACATCGACATCCTTCTTCGCTAACTTTCTTGGGTACTTCGCTATTCTATACGTGAGATTTTTAACCTTCCATCTACTCCCTGCAAAAATCAGTTATAAATTTATATGGGCGCAAATGACCGAGTTTAGTCAGTAACGCATTGTGCTTGGTTAGCAAAACACATTGAACTTGAATAGAAGACTTTCTATTCATGAGCAATGGAGCGTACATCCAGCAACTGACAATTACAAGCATTTATGAGTTGCAATTAAACTTAATTAAACTTACCCTGCAATGCGTATCTCTTTGATCTTGAGTCGCTTCCCGAGCCTACTTTATCTTTAACACCACATCTGGGCAGTGACATCGTTTGCAGGGTTTCATCATTTAATTCACCTGTTCAAAGATAAATATTATAATTTGTGTGACGGCGTCACCTTCACCCACATTTATAGAATTATTGATAATTATAAACAAAGAGTGACTATTTTTATTACCTGTGACTTCCAAACCGGCAAAACTCTGAAAGTCGGCTACAGCGTTGTTTAATACCCGTCCATCAATTAAGTTACTGGAATTGAATATGTTTCTAGTATTCGCTCCCAAATATCCATATTGTGATAGGTAGAACTATAACAAATTTATTAAATTAGCGACTAGCGACGAAAGAAAGGGAAAGTACAATTTTTCTGTGTTATTGTTTGGAAAGTGGTACGTAATCATATAGGTATTATATTAGTCATTTAAACTGCAATCTTGTGAATCAACCTGAATGAGTACACCCACTATTTACTATATTAGTAAATTAGATTTCTTTGAATTTTGAATGAATAAATCTGTATTTTCATTACTCATAAACTGTTGGTCGGCGGTCAAGGATTATTGCAATAATTCAGGTTTGTTAATTAGGTATCAGCGGGATTACTGTAATCAAAATTCAGAGAGTATTTAAATTTGAACCTTGAATTTTCCGTATTTCATTAAAATTAAAATAACGCGAAAATTTATATAAAAGCGGAAGTGTTGGCTTGAGGTGAAGAATAGGAAGTGTGTCTTTTGAATATTTTTAGAAAATGCCGGCCATGTTTATTAATAATCAGAGCAGAAAATAGCGACGGGTGACAAAGAAAAATTTTCACAGATCGTTTGCACCAGCTGCATGTGCAAAGGATTTCTAATCCACGTGATTGTAATAACAATGTATTAATCACAACAAATTTACAAATTTCAGAAGCGTGCCGATTTTGTGGGTGAATACCCTTTTACTCTACCACTCCCTCTATCGCCACGTTTGAAAGTGCAGTAGACTGGTTACATTTTATTCAGAACAAAATGACAAAAATTCTCAGAATAAATTTCGGCGATATTAATATTAATTGAATGAACCGCAAGAGCAACCACCCACTCTAAAAACGGATGCAAATAAGTTTGCGGAAATATTTTCATGCAAAATCATATGGCATGAGTGTATTTGTTGACCTGAGAGTGCTACTCGCCAACCTCCAGCCGTTATGACTCAGTGATCGATAACTAATGATACAATGATCTCTTACTCATAAGTGTAAAGGCACGTTTTTGTCGAATATGCTAATAACTCCTTTTAATGAGACACTAACCGCAAACTCTACTTAAATTGACAGGTTGAATCACTAGGAACTCGTAAATCCAATGACATTTTCACAAAACGCTCATTTCCGGCTAAAAGAACAATAACGTGCGGCACATTTATTTATATAAAGAATTAAAATGCTCCCCTTTACTTCGGTAGCGTGTGCATGGACAATATTAATCAGGTGACCTTTGGCTAGCCTTGCTTCGGGAACATCCTGAATAATATATGCAGAGCTAACAGCGATTTAAATGTCGACATCCAAGTTAAAGGACTCTATGCAAGAACACGCTAGCCGTCGATTTTCCCCCAGATTAAAATGCTATTTGTGTAGAACATGGTAGTGAATCTATTTATTACCCCTGGTCACTGACTGTATAAAAATTTTTAAAACGTTATTATTCCGTTAACGTTTTAGTTTATAAAATGCAAATTTGCACCATGACCTTGGAAGATGGCAGTAACACAAGTGCCGGAATGTATTGTTAACTTAAACAGTTTGTAAAAAAAAATAATTAAGATTCAGTTCAGTTAGTGTCATCCAAATATAAACACGAGATGGAAGACACAGTTTTCCCTTTTTTCTAATCGTTTTGCAATTGTACCGCGATACACACGTACGTGACATGGGTATAGTTTAAACCATCAACAATCACGTCTAATTTTGTTATTGAGATGAACAACGGTGATAGTCGGTGATGGGATCGAGAATCAGATGGGAACTTTCGACTTTTATCTATAGGTAGTGGAGTAGCAACAGAGACATTGCAAAACAATCATATTTTGTCTCACCTTTCCAGAAATTACATACGTGAATAGGTTAAACATGACGTTTTTGGGATCATTCATGAATATGGAGCATTCTAGTCGTGAGAATTTCGTACACTGCCTGGAAATATCGTTATAAATGGGTAAAGCCAAAAATCTCCAACCATAAATTATGTTTAGAAACCAAACCAATAGCACATTCATTTGTTAACGGAAGGAAGCTAAACATTAAAAACCAAACATTTTCAACAATAATTATTAATTTGTAACATAATAAATGTGACGGCCTTACACGAGGTTTTAGCCAAGGACTTTCATTACATTGACAATACATTGCTATATGATGAACACGAAAATTATATGAAGCCAATTCATTCTACCGTAAAAATCCATATAAATTTTGGAATCAATAACTAAAACAATCACGAAAGTCTAATTAGTAATCGGAAAATGATGCATTCATGGCCAACAGGTAGTTCCAATAATGACGTCATTTAAAGGCGCCGCGTCAGTTTCAGGCGTCCTTCGGCCTTCTTGATAAAAATTTAGGTACTATCGTTACAACAGTTCCGTACACCTAGCTTAGTCACGATTTTGCGTTATCTTCATTATCAACAAGCAAATAAAGTTGGAAACAAGCCTACTTTTGAATTACCTACTAATCTAGCAAACTTACCAAAGCAGAGTTACCACCAACCGCAGCGCCCTTTACTAGTTGGCAAATGGAGACTAGCGCCAGTATTGCGATACTCGGGCCCATTGTTACCGAATAGTCCTCAAGTAGCTCAAAAATGAAATTCAACGACCACAAAAAAATGCAAAAAAACTTGATTTATGTATGAATGGTTACGTAAAATTTTTCCCGCACAACTGACTATGGTCGCGATTTCTACTTTAGCCAATTTAAATCAATCATGTAACTAATTTCTTGTTATTTACACGAACGATTGTTGCACCTGCTACTGTCACCAAATGTGATGTTAATCGCGTACTGTGCGAGATAAAACTAAGCTTAGTAATGCGCGACGCTGTTTTTATACGATCGCCGTTCCCTGCTCGGCGCTTTGTAATTACACGATTATAATTCCTCTTATTTCAGTTCGGTGCAATTTTTTCCAGAATTTTGCAGGAATTCCACCACCGATGTGTATTTTGATTGTGCGTCCGGTCCCTAATTAAGTATGCACCCAACGCATGTGCTCCATGGGGAAATTACGTGCACACGTAGAAAATCATTTTTGGTGGTAACTTACTAAAATTTCCTCTTGGAGAGTGATTCGTTTTGCCAATTTTACACAGTTTAACGCAAATTTACTATTACATCAAAGAGACAAGTAGAGCTCTAAGAGATGATATAATATCAACATTAATATTCTTTCACTTTTCCAATTGTTTCGTAATTTTGCTTTGCTTCATTAATTTATCGGTTCTTTCAGCAAGTCCCATGATATTAATTTTCTAAAAACTGGCAAGTGTACAAGCATTAAGGCAATTAACTTAAGGAATTTCGTTCACGCATTATTACTAATTTCTCTTTACGTTACTATGAAAATTAATTAATCGATATCTGGTAAGGTTAAAGAAAACTGCTATTCGTCATTTGCTCATTACACGAGTTTCATGCAGGTATCGCCGCAATGGAAGATTTACATAGTAAATTCAATCATGCATAATGCATAATTTTTATTGATAGTATATCAGATAATTACAGAGTCGCGTAAAGTTGCGTATGATTTTGAAGGTTGAGTGACTATTTTTTTTTAATTTATCGGATCTAGTTTATTGATTATGCACGAATCTTTACGTAATTTTTTTATGGCGAACCGTAAACAGGAAAAATTACTAACACGCACCGCAGTATTTACGTATTTTTGGGTATAAGAAAAAAACAGTTTTTGTTTTGTGAAGCCCATCTGATCTCGTTGCAGGATAGTGCAAATTACAGTTTATTTTGCCACAAAAGTTCACTTTTACAATTTAAAAGCGCCCTTATACGAAATCACTTTGAAATGTAGATGGTATGAAGTTCAAATGTCATCAATCATTATTGCCATTTCTTTACTATCAAACAATACACCCTTGCTCTTTTACAGTGTGACAATTTAAAAACTTAAATAGGCTATATTTCACAAACAATAGATGGTAAATCAACAAATACTCAAAACCGTTTCTAGGGCCGGAAGGAACTTGTTTTGCAAAACTGGGAAATTTTTCTATTCAAAAACACACGGTATGTACCTATTATTGACTTTTTGACATTGAATCACAAGTAGTATTTTTGTTAAACTTAAAATATTGGATTTGCTATTATTGATACACCCTGTGCAACTGTTAATACCATTCAATAGCATTTTTATACGCTTTTCCACGTATCACAAGTAGCGGTTAGCTATTTAATTTTTTTAGTTGAGTCCTGGGTATTTGGCAGGAGTTAGTTGTCATTTTAGTTCCCCCTAGACACGGTACTGAGTATTTTTTCATATCTTTTGTTTATGAAATATACCCTACAGTACTTTAGGTTTAGAAATCCTCACTGTAGGTACCTATCCGAAGACTTTAAAATAATGTTGTTAATCTCTTCAGACTTGTATGGGCATTTTATACCCTAATCCGATTTTAAAAAATTATACATTGACACTTTTTTTATTCGACCAAAAAACCGTGCCAGAATGCGATGAATGACAGTTCAACGCCATTGAACTATTTTATTATGTACCTATGGTCTTTATGCAGATGCTAAAAACACCGTATAGTCATTAAAATAATCTCCGTACCAAATTTTAAACCCAATTATTTGTCCTACAATAAGTAATTATTGAACTGATAAACGTTTATGGAAACAATAGAAATACCTTGGAGAACATAATGGGTATGTACAGGTAGATTTGGTACAAAGAAAAGGATTATTGACAATTAATGTGTAGTTAATGATATCTTTGTGAATAAGTAGATAACGTTATAAGTTATCAACGCTAATCTCATTAATTATTCATGTTGGTTTTCAGTAATACGTACACAATAAATATGACGAGGGATATGTTTATAATCTTCAAATGTTCAAACATTGAGAAGACTGCCGTGATTACCTCGTTTGGAATATTTGAATTCCCTTATATGAACTTTGGTCTTCGAAACGCTGGTCAGACCTTTCAATTTTCAAAGATTTATTGACGTGCTACATTATTTTGATCTTTGGTAAGATTTTTGTTTTGCATACGCGAGATTCTGCCCAAAATTTCTTTTTATGTCTAAGAATGTGGATACCAAATTTGGTTCCAATCGGTTCAGCCATGTAGCCGGAAATGAGAGTACAGGCAGACAGACCGACCGATATGATCGATATTTTGTCCTCCAGATGGATCTCGCTACTCACTAATCGAACACGAAGTTTAAAAAGGCATTAATTCCCTGCTGGATCAAGCTCTGGTATAGATGATTTACACCCCCAGTTTCTTAAAGACATCACGTCTAAATCGGCCGTGGATGCAGAACATTGACTGGTAAAGTGGTCTCAGAATATTTGCCAATACTTTTCGGGGCAACACTATGCGCCTTTCCCAAGAAATATGGAGGATTACATCCTATCGCAATTGGCAATACTTTACGCCTGGGCACACAGCACGTGCAAAATCAAGTGAAAAAGATCCAAAAATACCTGAATCCGCACCAACTTGGAGTAGCAACCCATAAAATGTCGAAAAAATTTTACTCAAAATCGACTTTCGTTAAGCTTTCAACCACATCGAACGAGATAACATGCTAATAGAATTATGAAGATTTAAGTAAAAGGAAGCAACGATGGAGAGTGATTGAAAGAGCGAGCTTTGTTAACTAATTTACACTAATGTTCCTTGTTCTATATATTTGAACCAATAGTTCAATTAAGCAGTAAACCGTGACATTGTTACTCTTAATTTTGCTGAGCAAACCGAAGGAGAATTAGTTAAGAAACCGACTGGCTTTGCCTATTGTTACCAGTGGTGAAGCCACCGTAACCGAGACCTCTCGCGACTCTTAAAATGTACCCTACCGTATTTAAACAAGATACGAAGAATCGCATATGATTTTCAGTATGGGAATTTTTTGACAGACTACTTGCATTCGGTAACCAGACTTTTAATCCGGCTGACATTCAAAAGCACTGATCCTCGAACTTGATACTGCGCAGTTTTCAATATGCATTTTCGTGTCATTAAATTTTAAAAAATATCTCTATAAATAATAAAGTTGACATTACACAATCTGCGCACGCGCACATTAATCGTCAAGATTTTTCATGATTGAGGCGCCAGAGCTATAAGCTACCGAATGCAAAAAGAACGAACTAAATATCTTGAAAACTGCAGAAGAGTTAAGGCCTCGGACGAACGGAGAGATAAGAACCAATTTGCAGTGTTCTTGGAACGCAAAAGTTCTTAATTATCCAGAAATAAATGAGTAAGGGGTAGCACCGGTATCGATTAATACACCTTTTCGTATTACCTCTATGTTTATATTTCGAATACAAAAATATGAAACGTGCCGTTGTATAAACTTCAAACCATACTTGTGCGGTCATGCGCTTAGTATACCAATTGTAAGTTGTGATGAGGGAGAAAGCCTATGTAATGGGCGTTAATTGATTATCTTGTACGGAGGTTATTTTCACTTACTTTCAGGTGATGTACATTGTTATTATTCATTTTAGCATAAAAAATGTTTCGTTTAAATAGATTGCGTTTTAAGTTACTTGTATGATATTTCACATTTTCACTCAAAATGTCGGAGTAATTCCTGTGTTGTCGATCCATAAATTTCGTCTCCTCCTGACTCAGCTATTTAATTACATTTACCAAAACTTGACTGTAAACGAACAAAGTGATAATATTGTACAAACTACAAAACCATCTGAACTTCCGCATATACTTACATAGTAAAATTAAACGAATTATTAATATAGTTACAGATTTTATAATATGTATTACAAAAACGAGACTACCAAAGAGAATAAATAAATAACAAATCAAAAAGGAAATAAAAACAGCTCAAAAATCAATTAAGACATTAAAAAAGACACAAAGCAAAAAAATAAAATAAACATTAACAACTACTGAGATCGATGTCACGAAGGGTTAGAATCCCTCCCAATAGGACAGGGTCAACGTGCATTATTAAAGAAACAAACCAAAAATGAAAGTCCATCGTTTGTATTTCCTTTTCAAATTAAGCAATTACTTCTTTTGAGTAGTTATACGTCTCGACCAAATTGAAGCAATAAATTCCAACGCTTTCTTGATGTTGCAATTTTCACGACAATTAGTATGTTTGTAGACGGTGAAAAGAGGAATTGTCATTTTATTTTTATTCACAGTTACTTAAAATTACGTGAAGGTAAAAATCAGAATAAAAGGGAAGGTTTATACAGAAATTTTGAGTAGCATTATTGCGTTTGGGAATAATTCAGTACAATCAACGAAATGAGAGTTGCTAATTGGACAGCAAACTAGGTCTCGAAGTCGTTAATGGGAATGTTTCTTACTATCAATTAACAAGTCCAAGACTAAGAAATTTTGATCATTATTAGCATTCGAGTGGAAATACGAAAATAATACTCATTTGTCTGCTTTTAAGATTAGGTATTGCCGCAGAATCACTATACAACTAATTATTTCTACGAATTAAAAACTTCAGCTAAGATTGCTTAATTTTCAGCTTCTGAAATCGAATCGTGTCACTCTGGGACACTTGCAGTGTTGTCTAGAAATCTGAAACGTTGCGTTGGTTTAAAAGTTTAATAAAATGAAAACCTAGTAGCTTATGATTCCAAAAAAATGTCAAACCTAAAGAAGTATCCACACACGCACTGAAAGCTCTGTACGTCTGTGCCTGTAAATATTTAGGTTTTAAAACGAGAAAGATAATTGGGTTACCTGATAAACATGGAAGAAGTACAGACAGAGCTTCTTTATGAGTTACTTAATTTTGGCAAAAAAGTTTCATTACAGATACTGGTAAAGCTTTTGAGAATGCCTCGAT